AGGTTTGGTTAGGTTAATCTGGTTGGCCAATAAGCCACGCATAGTMCAGTTTGGTCCTTTGCGATATCAGATGCAGTTCAGTTGCTAATTTTAACASACTCTGCGGCCTCACTATCGATACCTCCTCCAATRTATCTAACTTTGGGAGCCGCAGTTKCTYATAACGCAGTCTTGCCAAGGAGGGRCAAGTGCCCAAGAGATTTTGTTTCCTGCCCTGCTCTAGACATTTTCTGCAGTCTTCTCAATCTATCTAAGACCCCTACAACTTACATGGTCAAGTAAGAGTGTATTTCGCAATCATCGCCGTCCGCAATTACAGTGCACTTATAGGGCTCCGCATAGCCAAAAATCAGCTCATAAATGTAACCCGCATCATAGCCACCCATCGACACCCAAATGGTGCTGTCACGTGTATAACGCAGCCAAATCACTGGATTCGGGACAGCTGGTATGTGTAAAGGTTCTTCCTCTTCGTCGGGTTCCGAATCGGCTGCACAATTAAGCGCAACGAAACGAAGCAGCAATAGTCAGTATGAGTTGATATGGACACTTCACAGTTAGTTACTCACCCAAGGCGGTCTCCATATCAATTTGCAAACCCGGATTGGCGGCCTTCAATTTATCGATTTCCACTAACTTCCTTTGACGTTTCTTCTCTTTGCGCTTCTTGATCTTTTCGCGCTTCTGATCTCGCCTTATGCGACTCTTCACAGAGACAAAGCGTGTGGACTTCAATTTGTGCGCATCGGTGATGTTGTAGGTGAGAAAAGTTTGTTCGTCTGTGACGCGTCCGGGAATTTGATATTCGTACACTTCACCACTCTTGCAACCCATCAAAACTGTCGACAACTGTGAAGATATATATATTATCAAATACTAGCTCAAAAAACCTTTACGCTCACCTCATCGTTCTTCCAATTGAAGCAGTTGACCACAGCGTCGAGCACCACAAAACCCATCGGTTTCAAATAAACCATATTATTTTCTTTATCCTTAATATTATAGACAAATATGGATTTGTCAGCGGAGGACACTACCAGACATGTATGCCGTGGATTGATGGACAACTTCGTTATCGGACCAATGTGCGCCTTAATCGCACGTACGAAATGCAGTTCAATATGTTTTTCATTGCGCATATTCAACACCAGCTGTCGCAGTATGCCATCCTCGAAGCCGGCAACTAAATCCATACCAGTGCTGGAGACTTTCGTGGAGAACCAAATGAAATCACTACCCGGTGAAATAAACTTCTTCTCCAACACCAAAGTGTTCGTTATGTAATTGAAGAGGAACATTTTGCCATCCTCACCGAGAGTCATGAGATGCGTTGAGACGGGACTCGTTTGTGCCGCGATGACTTTACCGCCATGGCAATTGTAGAGTTTTCTTGGCGTTTGGGACACGTCGTAGGTATTTAGGTCACAGAACCAAATGCCACCGTTGCCGTCCTGTGGAATATATTATATGATTATGTCTCGAGACTAAAAGTGGTTTATATATTTGGAATGAGTTAAGCAATTCACCCATCAATAATTAAAGCTTGAACCCAACTTAGAAATAGARTTCTGAAGAGTTGACAGTCCTGGACCGGATAAAAAAAATCCGGGTCCATTCCGGTTACGTAGACCCGACTATCGTGGAAACAACCCAATGCCTTGGCGGTGGGTCCTGAAATATGTAGCACGRTGCGGTCATCCTAATAGGGCTTTCGGATGTAAAGGAGAGCTCTAAGTAAGCGGGAGACCTTAGTAACTTCAGCAAAAGTAAACTTCCCYTCGCTAATAGTTTTATCAACCCAAATTGATATTATATCGACAAACATTCTTTATTACATTCCACATAAACCCCGAACTCACCTGCGCATAGTAGCTAAAATCCTTTTTATCGAAAGGTTTAATCTTCTGCAGGCCACGAATTTCACAGTCCCCAACTTTGAATTCATAAATCGGTTCAATCTCCACAAAACGATCTTCATCGGGCGGATCAGCCAAATCGACGGTTTCCCAATACCAAATGCGCACATAACCATCCATACCGACAGTCGTGACTTCACCCTCATCCATGGTGATGCGCGTAATCGGTTTGGTATGACACGGTTTGCGTCCCTTACGCGTAATTTCGAATTTAATCAAACCGGCTTCCCACAGCAGCATATTACCCCACTCACAACCCGAGATCACATTCTCATCGGGCAACATATAGATCGCACAAATGTCACTGAAGTCTGTCTTGCCGAAACGACCCAATTCGCCCTTCAGCTTCAGTCCCGTAAAAGTGTTAGCCATCTTCCAGAATTTTATATGACTTAGACCGCAGGACGCCAACAGTATGGGATTGAAGTGCGAAAAGTGTACATGCAATATATTATTTTGAAAAGATTTGGAGCGTAGGACCACCTCGCCGCTTTGCCAGCGCCAAATGGTGAGCATGAAATCGGGATAGCCGGCTTGCGAGGCGAAGAGCTCGCCGGTCGCGTTGTATGAGCCGCAGGTAAAGCACGACTTGGCTGCATTCTCCAACTTGATGCGCACCGCATGCGAGGGATATTCGTATATGAAGATGGTCGGTCGTACGCCATTCTCGGCAACGGTGAAGAGATCGATGAAGTCGGGATGCTCGTTGCGCTGCAAGGTTTTAGTTTCAGAGTTAGCGGCTGTCAATTACTTGTAATGTCAACATACCGTTATAAATCCAATGCCACCGCCGAAGACGGTCTTGCGAAATGTTACCGTACGCGTGGCTATATCGAAGTAATGCAAATAATCGCCGGACGCGAAGACCAGCGTATTTTCACCGAGCAGCACCAAATTGAAGAAACGCTTGCAATCGTAACCGAATGAATGACTTTTTTGGAAAAAAAAATATTTTTTTTTTCTTACACACATTTTTTTTTCTTGGGCTGCAACTTACTTCAAATCGATGATGTGCTCGCCGAATGTTGGCTCTTCTTTTTGCACCACCTCAGCTTCCGTTTCCTCCTCGTTTTCCTCTTGTTCGGACATATTTTTTTTATTTTTTCACTTTTTTYGCGGCGGAAATTATTTTCGGTTGCGTTGCTCGTACAAAATATTTCCTTGTGATATTGTATCGAAACAATTTGTGGCAATGACGAATGTTTGCGGCAGAGAAATGATATGAAACTCCGAACTGGTTCTGAAGGCACAGGAAAGTTTGTTTACGCGTTGCCAAGCATTTGTTGACTCGTATATTTTTAAGTTACAACTGTT